TGTGTTCACACACACTCATGTGCCACATCATTAGTGTAGAGGTCAGTGGACAACCTATGAGAATTGATTCTCTTTTGTTTTGTGGGTTCTGGGAAATCAAACTCAAGTTGTCAGTTCTGGCAGTAAATGCCTTCATTTACGGAGCCATTTTGCCTGAGACTTTTAAGTACCCACCCGACACACACACTTAAAAGACTTGTGCACGTGCATACATGTTCACTAGGGGTTGAACCCAGGGCTTTATGTATACTAAAACGTACATGTTGATGCCAGCTATGATGGCTCACAACTGTCATTTCAGCTTTTGAGAGGCTGAGACAAGAGGATAGCTGTGAGTTGGAGGCCAGCCTAGTCTACACAGTGAGCTCTAATCTAGTTTGAGCTACATAGTAACGCCCCAATGTGGCATTTGTACTAGCATGTCCTACCTCCCTTGGTTTTTATCCCTATCCAACTGAAGACTCCTGTCACTTAAGTTTGTATGTCTCCCTTGATAGAGTGCCTAGCCTGGGTCAGCTCCAAGGATATGGTGTTTAGATGCCTCAATAAAGTAGGCACTGGGGCTGGAGAGATGGCTCAGGGGCTAAGAGGGCTTGCTGCTTTTCTAGAGGACTCGTTTGGTTGCCAGCTTCCATGTCAGGTGGATACTTTTGTTTGGTTTTGTTTTTCTTTCTTTCTTTCTTTCTTTCTTTCTTTCTTTCTTTCTTTCTTTCTTTCTTTCTTTCTTTCTTTCTTTCTTTCTTTCTTTCTTTCTTTTTGTTTTTCAAGACAGGGTTTCTCTGTGTAGCCCTGGCTGTCCTGGAACTCACTCTGTAGACCAGGCTGGCCTCGAACTCAGAAATCCATCTGTCTCTGCCTCCCAAGTGCTAGGATTAAAGGCGTGCCCCACCATCACCTGGCTACAGCTCCAGGAGCTCCAACACCCTCTTCTGACCTTTGAGGAACCCTCACACAATTAGCATATATACCAGACCCAAAATAAAAAGTAATTCTTAAAGCAAGGGCTATATCAATTTGTTTATATTTTTGAAATAGTGATTTGCAGCTGAGGCTCTGGTGGGCTCAATGGCTGTATTGTTAAGTATAAACAAGCGAGGAAGCTTCCTCAGAGCTTGCTGACTAGAGAGTGCCCTGCAGGTGTCTCCGATGCCAGAAAGGCAGAATTCTCCACTTGTCAGGTGGCAGGGCCGGCACTGAACTGAAGGAAGTTCACCAAGCTATGCAGCCACATAGTCACCTGCCTGGGAGCCCGCTTACTGACCTTAAATCAGAGCAAGCGTCCATGCTATTCTTTTTCTTCCAACTGCACCAGAATTGACTCAAAGAAATCTCCAGTGCAGTTAGAGAGGTTCAGACACACAGGGAAAGGACAGTGATGGTTGTGATGTGACTGTGACCATGTTTCTTGTGGCTTAGAAGTAATTGTAACATGAATTGCTAAATGGTCTTATTAATAATAAAAAAAAACCCTGGAGCCAGATATTGGGGTGACAGCTGAAAGGTCAGAGAAACAAAACAAGCCAGCCACGTTCTTACCTCTATGAAATCCTCAGCCTCACGAGAGAGACTTCCTGTTTACTCACGCCTTATATATCTTTCTGTGCCCTGCCATCTTCCCTTCCTAGTGCTGGGATTAAAGGCATGTGCTCCCACACCTGACTCTGTTCCCATGTGTGGCCTTGAACTCACAGAGATCCGGATGGATCTCTGCCTCCCGAATTGCAAGAATTAAAGGTGTGTGCTACCCACTGCCTGACCTCTATGTTTAATATAGTGGCTGGCTTTGTCCTCTGATCCCCAGGCAAGCTTTATTGGGGTATACAATTTATCACCACAGTTACTGAGCATGTTTGTTTGTACGTGGGACCTGCCTCAGAAACAAAACAAAACAGCTGGGTGTGGTGTCTCACACCTGGGTGGCAGAGGTAGAAGGATGTCTGTGTGTCTGAGTCCAGCCTGGTCTACATAGTGAGTTCCAGCACATTCAGTGCTATATAGTGAGACTCTGTCACACACACACACACACACACACACACACACACCAAAATAAAGCACTGTCCACTCTCATGTGTTAGTTGAAGAGGCAGATTTAAAAAAAAAAAAAAATTTTTTTTTTTTTTCTTAAATTGTGTGTATGTGTGTGTATGATATGTATGTGGGTGGGTGTTCTGCAGCATGGATGTAAAGGTCGGAGGACATCTTACCAGAGTCAGTTCTCACCTTCTACCTTGGATTCCAGGGGTCAAGGTGGGGCCTTGGTCTTTTTAGGCAAGCGATTTTAACTGCTGAGCCCTCTCACTGGCCACAGGGACATTTATAATCCTTCAGTCCACAAACTCCCGTTGAAGAGGATTCTCCAACTCTGGACAAACAGATAGGCGAGCAAGTGAACTCACGGTTGTCAGCCACACTTCGAGGCTGGTTTGGGGGTGCTGAGGGGACCTAGAATAGTGTGTGTGTGTGTGTGTGTGTGTGGTGTGTGTGTGTGTGTGTGTATGTGTGTGTGTGTGTGTGTGGTGTGTGTGTGTGTGTGGTGGTGTGTGTGTGTGTGGTGTGTGTGTGTGGTGTGTGTGTGTGTGTGTGGTGTGTGTGTGTGTGGTGTGTGTGTGTGTGTGTGTGAGTGTGTGTGTGTGTGTGTGTGGTGTGTGTGGTGTGTGTGTGGTGTGTGTGTGTGTGGTGTGTTGCTGTCACTGTCACCATCTCGAGACAGAGTGTTGTATTTTAAAAACAGCAGGAAGGAGTCACACCATACAGCTGGGCCCATGTAAGAGATTTATTGAGGGGAAGGGGAGAAGGAAGCGGGAACTGGTCCCTGGGGACAAGGAAGGGAAAGAGAAAGGCGAGACTGGAGGTGTACAAAGCTCGACTTTTATAAGGAAACAATGTGCAAGGGTGTGCAGGCCAGTACAGATGCCTCAATGCTAATACAGAGTCTCACTGATCAGCCCTGGCTGATCTGGAACTCGATTTGTAGACCAGGCTAGCCTCAAACCCCCTGAGATCTGCCTCTGCCTCCCGTGTGCTGGGATAAAAGGTGTGCACCACCACCACCCAGTTTAAATTTTTTTTTTTCTAAAAGGACATTCCCTATAATTTTCCTTTGCTCTTCATAGTTAGGATGTGTAACCTGAGTAGAGGAATGTTGAAAATGGAGCAGGATAATGAATGACCTGCAAGGCGTAAGTGTTTTGGAGCTGGGGGTGGTGATACATGCCTGTACTCTGGAGGCTCAAGTAGGATTGTTGAGAGGTGGTAACCAGAGGTACATAGCAAGGCTCTGTCTTAAAAAACAGATGGTGAGCCGGGCGGTGGTGGCGCACGCCTTTAATCCCAGCACTCGGGAGGCAGAGCCAGGCGGATCTCTGTGAGTTCGAGGCCAGCCTGGACTACCAAGTGAGTTCCAGGAAAGGCGCAAAGCTACACAGAGAAACCCTGTCTCGAAAAACCAAAAAAAAAAAAAAAACAGATGGTGGCACACATTTTAATCGCAGCACTCAGGAGCAGAGGCAGGAAGAGCTCTGTGAGTTGGAGGTCAGCCTGGTCTAATAACAAGTTCTAGGATAGCCAGGGTTACATAGTGAGACCCTGTTTAAAAACAAACAACATCGCCAGGCGGTGGTGGCGCATCCCTTTAATCCCAGCACTTGAGAGGCAGAGCCAGGTGGATCTCTGTGAGTTCGAGGCTAGCCTGGTCTACAGAGTGAGATCCAGGACAGGCAACAACACAGAGAAACCCTGTCTCAAAAAACAAGCAAACAAACCCCAACACAGCCACAAATGTTTGGGTATGAAACATATGATTCAGTGTCACTGCTCAACTTGCATTATGTAACCCGCAATGGCTGTTCCATTGCTGTTTTTGTAGATAGGACCTTAAAACAGCTATTTAGAGACCCAGCATCATGTAGTTCAGGTTAGCCTCAGATTCTCTGGGTAGCTGAGGATGACCCTGGACTTCTGGCCATAACAGGGCACAGCTTTGCCAGTACAGCCACCTCAGATGCTTCAGAGACCGCCCCTGACTCATGTTGGAAGGAGAGCAGTCAACACTGCACTCCACCTTACCAGCTAGCAGAGGCTAACCTTCAACTTCTGATCCCCCTGCCTTCACCTCCCAGGCACCTGCATATCTAGTTAAAGCAGTGTTGGGGCCCAAACTCACAGCCTGCTGCATGCCAGATTAGCACTCTACCAACTAAGCCCTGGATTTCACATCTTTTTTTTTTTTTTTTAATTTATTTATTTATTATGTATACAGTATTCCTCCTGCATGTTGCCTGCAGGCCAGAAGAGGGCACCAGATCTCATTATCAATGGTTATGAGCTACCATGTGGTTGCTGGGAATTGAACTCAGGACCTCTGGAAGATCAGTCACTGCTCTTAACCTCTGATCTACCTCACCAGCCCCCCCCTTTTAAAATTATTTATTTATTTATTTGTTTGTTTATTTTAAAGATTTATTTATTATGCATACAGCATGTATGACCAGAAGAGGGCGCCAGATCTCATTACAGATGGTTGTGAGCCACCATGTGGTTGCTGGGAATTGAACTCAGGACCTCTGGAAGAGCAGCCAGTGCTCTTAACCTCTGAGCCATCTCTCCAGCCCCAATTATTTATTTTTAATTCTATGTGCATCAGTATTTTGACAGCATGTATGTCCATGTGAGGGTGTTGGACCCCCTGGAACTGGACAGACAGACAGTTGTGAGCTGCGCTGTGGGTGCTGAGAAGAGCAGCCAGTGCTCTTGACCGCTGAGCCCTGGGTTTCACATCTTAACTGAGTGCAGGACTTGTTTTGTTCTGCTGTCCCTGGGTATCTGTAGATACCAATGGGTTTGCCTCTTCTCTGACAGGGACAGTTTCTGGAGGCCAGACCTTTGTGGCAGCCGAAGTCACACGGTACCTCCCAGGCAGCAGGTGTTCGTTCCTTTGAGAGTGGCAGTGTGAGCTAGTGGACAGTGTGCCTTAACCCACCTCTGGCTCTTTCCACCTGCAGCTGTGCAAGTCTGACTCACTGTGGGAGCAGATAGTTCAGTTGGCCTGTGACACCATCACCCCCGACATGCGGGCCCTGGCGAAGGACGTGGGCTGGAGACAGGTGTTCTTCACCAACAAGATCCAGCTCCAGAGGCAGATTCGCAGGAAGAAAAGACAGGGAAAGCAGGAGAAGAAGCATGCTTAGGGGCCAGCTGTCCCCATCAGTGGGGCCACAGATGGTGCTTCTCTTCAGATCTAAATTTCATTCTCTTTTATCAACAGTTGTTGCTGATTCCAGGAATCACTTGAAAATCACATTTTGTACACACACACACACACACACACACACACACACACACACACACACGTACACGCAAATCCACCCAGTGCCTTGCTTGAGCAACCACCTCCGTCCTTCTCAGGCCAACCCATGGCCCAAGTACCTAGGGCTACAAGACAGGAAGCCTCTCAGGCCACCACCTTCCAGATCCCCTATTGCCTTTGGGGAAAGAGGCACTTGTTGTGTATGAACTAACAATAAAGAGTTATTAGCAGGCTTGTGGTTTTGTTTGTATCAGACAGGGATTCCAAGCTGGACCTTTAGGATGACTTTGAACTTCTGATCCTCTGGCCTCCACTTCTCCACTGCTGGGATTACAGGCATTCACCACCATGCCCTTCATGAGGTACTTACCTGTGTGCCAAGTAAGCACTCTATTCATACCCCCCAACACATTGCTGGGGTTTTGTTAAATATCCTTTTGTTGTTGTTTTGTTCTCTCTGTAGCCTATGTCCTGGAACTCGATCTGTAGACCAGGCTGGCTTTGAACCCAGAGATACACCTGCCTCTGCCCCCACCCTACTGCTGGGATAAAGGCGTGCACCATCACTGCCCAGCTGTTAAATATCTATTCTATCTAGGCATTCAGAATAGCAGCTTGGCTTTTGAATTGTTTTCCTGATGTTATGTTTCCTGCATCCCTCTGTGGCACGGGTCGCTGGGTGCACTTGGAGGTGCAGGTGCCGCAGAGGCACCCCAGGAGGGTACAGCTGCTCCCCCACTTTGTCTAGCAGAGTTTGTGTTCAGTCACTGTCTTGTGAGCCCAAGGTGTCATCCACCACACAAACAACCCCTGGTCTGGCACTGGAGCGTGGCTGGGAAAGCCCAGACATTCTGCAGGCAGCCCTCACTCAGAGGATGCTACCACTGCCAACTGTTGTCAGTTCTTAGGGGAGGAGCACCACTTTCTAAAGGGAACGCAGCCTGACAGCACTTTGCAGTAGGGATCCGCCCCCTCCCACCTGATGGAATTCCTAGCCACCCTCCCATGACCATGCATGCGCTGGCAAGACGCTTAGTCATTCTGGGGCCTTATGTCCTGCGTAATCTGTGTGCTGTGTGGTCACGTAATTTGCGCGCAGCATGACCACATAATCTATGCGCATGCATGGTGTAGCTACTTAAGCCCATATGCCCATGTGCAGGTGAATCCATAAAAGCGGATCCCACAACCTCTCCCCCCTGTTCCTGCACAATCTTTCCATAGGCCTAAGCACATCCCTTCTGTCCCCTTCCCTTAATAAACTCTTATAGTGGGTTTTGTTGTACCTCGTGGCTTTTTTTTCTTTCATGCTAAACAGTGCTGCATAGTAAATAACATTGGTGCTGAGACGAAGCAGGATCTCTGCTGTTCTGTGCCTGGGACACTGTACTGAGGTTTTGTTCCTATTTGCCTGGCTGCCGGACTGCTTTGCACAACACCAGCTGCTTCGATTGTTGAGTTCTCCTTTCCAGCCAGTGTAAACAGTTCCCTAGACCTGTGGGAATGACTGTTGATCATCTGGCGCCCGTCTGGTGTCCTCGGCCTTCATCGGCTGTGGTGGCTCCCATCACAGGCTTCAATCTCTAGCCATTTCCCACATCTGCAGTCTGACATGTTGTTCTCACCATCAGACCCCCATCCTTGGGCTGCGTCCTCGGGCTGCATACACCCGCTTCATTCTCTTGCTTGACGAAGCATCAAATGCTGTCAGACCAGGTCCAACAGCTATGCACGCCCTGGCCCTCACCCTTCTGGCTAGACAAAGCATTGGGTGACTTGTGCCAATTGCCGATCCTCACTTGATCTTGGGGATGCCTGAGATTGTAGTCTTGGATCGCTTTGGGTTTTTTTTAGTTTTATATATATTTTTTCTCTCTGCTGCTGTTATGGGAAATAAGGCTTCCAACCCTATTAGTCCTACCTTCTCCCTGGGATGTCTTCTGGAAACTCTTAAGCCTATCAGCTTAATGTCTTACTTAAAGATCTCTAAGCTTGGGCTGGAGAGATGGCTCAGCAGTTAAGAGCACTGGCTGTTCTTCCAGAGGTCCTGAGTTCAATTCCCAGCAACCACATGGTGGCTCACAACCATCTGTAATGAAATCTGGCGCCCTCTTCTGGCCTGAAGGGATATACGCAAGCAGAATACTGTATACATAATAAATAAATAAATTAAAAAAAAAAAGATCTCTAAGCTTGTCTGCCCCTGCACTAAGAAATGGCCCAAATATCCCTTAGATAACAATAAGAAATGGCCACCTAATGGTTCCTTAGACCCTGATATTTTATGGGAATTATCTAACTTCTGCCAGTGAATAGGCAAATGGAAAGAATTACCTTATATTCAGGCTTTTTTCTGTCTAACCTCTAGACCTTCCCTTCTCAATTCCTTCTCTCCTGCCCACGTGCTCCTAGCTATGCACCCTGAACCTGAGGAATCTCTGACTGCCGCTCTGGACTCTGCAAATGAACCTCTGCCTATCCAACCTCCCACTCCTGCTTGAGCATCTGCCCTTCTGGCTCTTCTCTAGTCCCCTCCTCCTCTCCAGTATCAGGCTGCTCCAACTGCCCAACTCTGGCTCCAACCTTTACACCTCCTATTGCTTGTCCTCATACTGCTAAGAGATCTGACTCCAGCCATGCTGACCTGTCAACCATTCTTCCTTTGCGAGAGGTAGCCAGGGTGGATGGACTGATTAAGGTTCATGTCCCTTTCTCCCTTGCAGAACTTTCTCAGAAAAAAATACTGGCTTTCTATACCTCTAATTCTGCTTCCTTTAAACAATTCCAATATATTACCCAATCTTGTAGTCTCACCTTTCATAATGTATATATGATACTTGCTAATAACCTACTTCCTGAGAGCACAGATGAGTTTGGGCATTGACTAGGACACATGAGGTTCATCAAACCAATGCTGCCCACCCACCTGGAGCTGAGGCGGTTGTAGAGAGCCGTGCACGGCCGCGCCTCAAAGATGGCGCCGGCATCCGGCTTCCGCCTTCCCGATGGCAGGTGTTCTCTGGGATAAACAACTCCTTATTTGGCTTGGGCGTGGAATCTGGCTTGCTTGCGTATGTCTGACCCTATCGGCATTGTCCACGTGGCACTACGGGGTTGGTTGCCCAGTGGCTATAAAGGGTGTGGGCTGGCTTTCCCCGGAGTCAGAAGATTGTTCAAGGTTCCTGAATAAACTGCTTGGAGAAGAGCCTGGTGTTGCGTCTTCCTTGCTGGTCGAGGCGGACACGACAGGCGGTTCCCGATCAGGACCCACACTGGGATTATAATACCCCGGGGGGCTCTCTAGCTAGGGATAGGTTTATAACCTGCCTCCTGGTGGGCCTTCGTAAGGTTGCACTCAGAGCAGTAAACTATGAAAAGCTAAAAAACATAATTCAAGATAAGGAAGAAAATGCATCTCATTTTTTAGAACAGCTTACAAAGGTTCTACAATATACTAGGCTAGATCCTGAGAGTCCAGAGGGCAGACAGCTCCTTATGACCCACTTTATCTCACAAAGGTTACCCAACATCAGGGCAAAACTTAATCGTCTGGAGAGGGGGCCTCTGACTCCACAGGCAGAAGTTTTAGCAGTGGCATTTAAGGTGTACCATGGGAGAAATGAGTAAGCCCATAAACAGAACTGCCAAATGCTGGCACACGCTATCTGACCAGCTTCCCAAAGGCCTCCAGGTCCCTGTTTTAAATGTGGTAGAGAAAGCCACTGGGCACATGCATGCCTTGCCCTATGTGGGCCACCAACTGGGCCTTGTCTGAAGTGTCACCAAGAGGGACACTGGTCAGCTGACTGCCCCTGTGCTCCTTGTGGCATGAGGACATCAAACAGAGACCACTCCTAGGCTTGGCCATGGGCAAGGATTGAAGGTGACCTGTTCCTGGCCCTACCACAACCATCTCTTACAGGGAACCCAGGGTAACCATTGCAGTATTGGGATGATCCCTTTCCTTCCTTTTGGACAACAGAACCACTTACTCAGTCCTGAGGGAGTTTTGGGGTCCCACTGTTAGGATCCTGCCCTCACTCCTGCACATACGCAGTTTGGGGTCTTGCATCATCAGTGTGCGCTGGTGACTATGTAACGTGCCTTAAAAAGCCAGACGACCTTATCCTCTCTCTCTCTGCTCTGCTCTGCTTCTTCCCCTCACCATCTTTCTCTCTCTCCAGGCCTGGCTCTCCTCTTTCCCCTCCCCACTTCTTCCTTCCTAATAAAGCTCTGAAAACTAATACTGGGTTCTGTCGTGTGTTGGTTAAGCAGTGGCACTCGTGACTGTGGCTGGCCATGCTGATGGAGGAGAGTGCTAGATGTATCGGTGACAGAAGAGTCATGAGCCATGGTTAACTTTCTAGAGCTTTATTGGGAGAGAAAGAGAAAGGGAGAGAGAGAGAGACAAAGAGAGAGAGAGATAGAGAGAGAGAGACCACGCGGAGGGGGGAGAATACAGAAGGAGAGAGTGTGGAAAGAGAGGACACAGAGAGAGCACACCCACTTTTTAGGCTGGGACGCCGTCGCAGGCTGGTGACATAATTAAGGACATAATCCTTACATCGTGACTGTGACCTTTCCATGCGGTAACCAGCGCCACCACCAGTGCCACTTACCATCCTTTCACCCACCTCTCCTTCTCATCTCCCCATTGTTGGGATAGGGGGACAGCCTTACCTACCTCATCAGACCCCATAAACCTGCCCTGTGCCCCCAAATTTCTTATCCAGCTAGGGTTATAGGGTCTCTGTTAGTTTTTCGGCTGCGTTGTGTTCTTACCCTGCAAGGAAATGCCACGAAACACGACAGAATCCGCTAACAAGAGTTTTATTAAAGGGACAGAGAGTGAGCAGGCCTGTGGGAAACACGTGTGTGGAGAAGAAGGAAGAAAAAGAAGAAGAAGAAACCGGGAACATGGCGCCGGATTTTAAAGGCTGGGCGTGGACAGATCAGCGTCACTACTACACGCAAGCGCGTAGATCACATGGCCACATTGCGTGCTTACGTGGCTAGTGGGACATCATGGATCTTGGTCCCGCGAGATGCCCTGACCCGGAAATGGCTATCTGGACCTGGACCTAGCTAGGCGGAAGTATCCGCCAGGCATAGGCAGACACGCCTGACCGTGGGGGCTTGTTGTAAATCTTTCAGTCTCGCCTTCCAAAGTTCAACTGTCCACTCCTCAGGTCACCTATTTGGGTCTAAACATTGCTCCAACCCACAAGGCT